CTCAAGTGTTGTTCTTAAGGCTGGAAAGAAGAACAGGTAGAAGGGTTTTAGTCCCATCTGTAGTAGAACTTGCTGAGCATCCACAGGAAAATTATTTCATCACCTGGTGTCCCTCTTTACCTGTTTGTGCACTAGGATTGGAACTGCCTAATTTTCCTGGGTGGGAGGGCTGGGTGATGCTGAGCCAGCACTTAGATGAGCACAGAGAAGTCTCATGGGCACTCGAGGCCTCCCTTGCTTCCCATTCAATCCCATATCTCTGTATGACAGTGATGCAGTAACAGCCGTACAGCACATGATCGTATCAGATCTTAATTCTGCATTGCCAGTCTTAAATGGCAGAACATCTCCTCATGGCCTGTAGTCTTTTTCACTACAACAGTTCCATGGTCCGGATATATGAAAGTGATATTTAGTGCTTTTTTTTATACACAAATTATATGTCAAAATGGCCTTACTGGCTCAGAGCAATGGTCTCCCTCTAGCCCCTTATCTCCCAACCGTGGCTGTGAGCAGTCACCCAGGGAAGACCAAGAAGAGGGCAAACCTGTGCGATACCTTCTTAAGTCCTCTCCCAGCTTCTGACTGTTTTCAGGGGGATTTCCAGAGTCTAATGCAGTTTGTTGATTTAATAGCCCTTGATAGGTCTGTCTTACAGATGTATTTCCAGTCATCCTTTGTACCAAAGTAGTTTCTGAATCCATAGTGCCCATTGGCACAGGGTCACGCTTGATGTGTGACAGCCACCACCTCTGTGATAGACTTGATGGCCCTTCTGAGTAAGGGCTGTGTCCGTATCCGTTCAGCAATCCTAACTAGCAATGGTGACTCTAAAGTCAGAATGCTTGGCAACTGTTTCTGGCTTTCAGGGATGCACCATCTCTGCTCTCCTGCTCAGATTCCCCAGTTTGCCCAGTTGCAGACACTTAGTGGAACAGTTTCCTGGTGGTGTGACCCCATTTTCTCTACTGTCCCCTAAACCCCTGTAATTGCAGAAGAGTTAATTCGGGGCTGCTGGCAGGACTCGCATGCACTTTTCTGTCCACTGAATGTGCTTCTGTAAGAAGTAGTGTGGGAAATGGGGAAACTGAGCTTAAGTGCTAGAAAGCATGACTAATCCAAGGCCTGGGCTACTGTCCACGTAGTTACTTGGCCTAAGTGGGCTTCTTGCGACAGCAATGCTCGTTCCAGTCGCCCTACGGAGTTTGAGGAGGACTCTGATTCCACTTTGAATTCGCTGGATGCCGTTTGTAAATATTGTCCGTGGGAATCTTGAACGTGCCAAGTTCTGTGTGAGTCACCCTGCTAACAGGGTGTACCTGAGACTGGGGTTGACAAATAGGGCACCCCAACTGGAAGTAAAGTCAAAAAAGGGTTTTGACTTTCCTGCGTGGTCGGTCTGGATTCATCGTACTGTTACGTGCTGGTTACAGTGGAGCAGAGTTCGCTGGTACTTACCCTGCTGTGTCTGTTCAGGTATAAACCCACGAGTGAAGTCGGGGCGTTTTATGAAAATCCTTCCCGACTACGAGCACATGGAGTACAGAGATGTTTACACCTGCCGTACGTACCTCCTGCTGGTTGATGCTTCCTGCACTAAGCACACACAAGATGCTGCATGGAGTGTGACGTGGCTTTAAGCAATTTATTTTGGGGTGGACCTTGGGACAGCATGGAGGGTGCCAGCTGGTTCTTTCTGTTGTGCGTTAGTGGAGTATGCTGACCCTTCAGAGTGACAATGGGAGTAGGGCAGGCAGTGAGGTATGTTGGCCTCCTTTTTGAGGTGGTTTGAGTTAGAAAATTGTCCTGGCTGGGCACAAAAAGGAGGGTCTCTGTTCACAGTAGAGGAACGCCCACTCTGGTCTTCATGGATTGTCCCTTTCTTAGAAGGAAGTATTCAGATACACTGGTCAGGGCTCCCAAAAGCAAGTTCAAACAAGCCGTGGACTGGCAAAAAGCTTTGTCTTGATCCAGATGAGCTGCGTTCAGATCCGCAGCCCTTCCCAGTGAAAAATGCCAAGAGTTCCCATACTACTTCCCTCCTTGCACAGTGAATCCTTTTAACCACCATCTCCGTCTCTAGGAAACATTCTGCTGGTGTTTCAGAGATTGTGATTTGCCTTCCGTAGTCAAGAGGCTGCTCTGGGTGAACTGTTCATTCCCTCCTGATGTTGGGCTGAGGGAAGAACAGTAAAACGTTGGAGTTCAACGCTCGCTGTTCGGCAGGAGTTGGGGGGGAAGGACTGATTAGTTTACATCAATTAAGGAAGCCAGGGCTGCTTGGTATTTGGAGGGGGTGTTGAGCTGTCTGTAATGCTCCTTTGGGTCTGCAGAGTTTTGCAGGCTCAAGTTATTAGCTCACTGGTGTTTGGGAATGTCGTTTTTTGCACGTGCTGATGAGCAGAGTGGATGCTGCAGGCTTACCTGTGCTGAAGGAAGCAGCTGAGCGTTGGCCGCGCAGGGAAGATGGTGTCTTTTAACGTGAGTTGTGACATCAAGCAGCAGCAGTGCTACAGCAGGAAGTGGTAGACAGTTTGAGGTTGGGCAGCCCTGCCTGTCAACACCAGCCTTGTGCTGGAGCTGAATGGGAAGGAGAGACACTTCCAAGCTGCCCCGCAGAACGAGGGATTCCTTGGTAGATCGCTGCCTGGGTCTTTGCTCCAAACGTGCCGTTTGTGGTGGCTCTCAAGTGGCATTTTGTGCTGTTCCCTCGGTTGTTCTTTCTTTAGCTGCAGCCCCAAACTTCTGATGTCTTGTGCCCCTTTTCTCTAGGAGCACCTTGTATTTCTTGGGGAGCAGCCGGTGTGGTTGAAGATGTGATTGCCCGTTTTCCCCCTTTTTCCCCTCCTGTGTGTTAAGACCGTGTTGTCAGGATTTACCATCCGAGTGCTCCCTAATTCACACTCATGCAGGATTAGCCAGGTCAGCTCAGATCACTTTCCCCAGGGTTTTAAACTAGCCTGGCTGACACTTCGCTCTTTCCACTAGCAGGTTGGTTATCACCAGCTGGGGGGCAGCAACTGCTTACATTGTTCCAGCTCGTTTTGCTTATAGATAGCTTGCTGCATCTGGAGAGTCCGAGAGTTGGAGTGGATCAGGTCTTTTCCTCTCAAAGAGCTCCCTCTGCTTTAAAGGCTGCGGATTTCACTGAAAACTCCCCTGTTAGGTTTTTGCGTTTCTCTGCCTGTGCTCTCCAGGCTGGACACAGGTAATAAAATGAGATTTAGTCAGTAGCAGCTGAAAGCATCTGCTCTCCTCCTGTTTTAATAACCCATTCTGGGGTTGTAACTTCTCTGTTCAGACCTGTGGCGTCCGTGGTGTGCCAGCGCTGCGATGCTTGCTTGAATCGCTGTGCCATTTGCTCGGTGTCACCTCCTTGTGCCGTGTCTGACTCTGACAAAGAGCACAGGCGGCAGACCTTTCCCAGGGCAGCCTTCTGTTGCCAGCAGCTCGGGCAGTCACTGCTTTTCCTAGCCCATCCGCAGCTGGATTCAAGCCACCTTCCCATCTGAAGAGCGTGCAGGGCTGCTTGTGGCCGTGTGGGTAATATCCAGGCTGGGGGAGGGTCGTAGTGAAGCATCCCGTGGATGTATTTTTGCTCCATTTGGCAGGATGTGGCCTCAGAAATTCGGCTAGGCACGAGGCTTCTTCAGGATTGAGAAAAATAGGCAATGTGCATAGAAAACCTTGAAGAAAGACCCCAGTGCTGCTTTCTTTCGAGGAGCTGGGAAGGAAACAACTGTCAGATCCATCCTCTCTCCCACTAGGGAGAGCCAGAGCTGGAATTCATCAGGTTTTCCCTGCCATGACCATAGCTGCTGGCTCACTGGAGCCCAGAGACACCCCAGGCTTGAAAACGGAGCCGTGCTTTTGCTTTGAGACTTGTTTAGGCCTTTGGCCAAGGACCAGCATTTTCCCCAGTAACTTCTTTTCCTGAAAGACCAGGAGGAAGGGCAGTCCCCAGCCCGCTGAGCAAGTGAGGGAGAGGACGTGTGCCTTAAGGTGTCCCTGCCGTGGGTGTTGTTGCGTAGGGAGGGTGAGGCTGGGTGAAGCGCTGCTCGCGTTGCCGCCTGTTTCCCATCAGCTCTGTCTCCGGCTTCGGTTTTAAAAAAATTAAAAAAAAGAGCTGCCCTCAGCAGAGGTGCAAGCTAAGCTGCTATCCGGTGGGTAAGATTCTTCTGGAGGTGAATGGGATTATTTTTTGGGGGGCCTCCTCCCTCCTTTGCAGCCCCAGGTTTCTGGCCGGACGGTGAAGCAGGCTGTGTTTGTGACTTAGCTGTGTTTCCTGAACCGCCGTGGCTCCTGGCCATCCGAGCTGCACTAGGAGCTGGCTGTTCGCTCCGAGTGAGCCCACAAACTGCCCTCGACAGGCAAGTGTCTTGCAGTGGAAGGGCTTGCCTGGTCAGGCAGACGCTTCTCCGTGCTGTTGAACAGTCCATCCATTGTAGCTACAGCTCTGAGAGCGCTGCAGACAGGAGCTGGGCGAGAAGGAGGTACGTTGGCCTCGTTTTTGAAGTGGTTTGAGTTAGAAAATTGTCCTGACTGGGCACAAAAAGGAGGGTCTCTGCTCACAGTAGAGGAACGCTGACTCTGGTCTTCATGGATTGCCCCCTTATCGCTCTTGGATAGCTTTGCATCAACTTTTCTATCCTAAAAATAATAATTAAAAAATAAAGCTGGGTTTTGTCAGCTCAGTGCCAGGCAGGGTAGAAGGCAGAGCGTGGTGGGTGGAGCAGCTTGTGCACATACCATTTATTAATATGTAATTACTGCACTGGGATAAAAAGACTGGGAACGTGGTTTGCTTGCTTGCCTGAGTGCTGTTTGTGCTGCAGTCGGTTCACTGGGTGAAACCGGGCGATCAATCTTAAATTCTTTACTGCACAGGAAAAAGGCTCCTCCAGGCCAGTTGGCAGCAGCTCTGGACAACCCTCCCTGCTGTCTTAAACCTCTGTGGAAGTTCTCTGCTTCGGTGTAATAAAAACCCTCCTGTAGTTCTTGCTGTCTTCAGTTGTTAATGGAACAAAGCTGTTGTAACAGCTGCACTGAAACACAGTTCTTCCTATAAATCCACGCGAGGCAAAAACGATTATTCAAGCCGGTCCTGTAGGTTAAAATGAGTTATGGTGGCCTTCCGAGTTGGCCATGAACATCATTGTAAGGCAAGTGTGGTGTCCTCTTGCCATCTTCACGGAAATAATCTGCATCCTGCTGTTCCTGCCCAGAATGCCAGATTCCGTGTCATGTCTTCACGTGAAGGTTACTGGCTGTGTTGGGGAGTTGTATGGACAAAATTAACGGCTGACTGTGTAAGGGCTGGAGGCCAGCAGCATCTGTGAGCTTTCCTTGAGAGAGGAGGTTTGTTAAGATCGTTCTGTGATAGGCATTTTCTCCTGCTGGCTGAAAACGTTCCTGCTTGTCTTTCCATTTCAGGGGGATTGAAAGCGCACCTAGCTCTGAGAGGAGAAACGGAGAAGCCTCACCTGCTGCAGTAGGCTTTGAGGGGGGCTTTGAAGCAGCTTTTGGGCACTGCTGAAATGTAGCTGCTTACTTTTTAAGTTTTTTAAGGCTGTTACTGAACCTAGTAGCACCACCAGATCTCCTGAGCTGGCATGGTCTGTGCGCTTTGCCCGTGCTCTCTCGATGGCTGTTTTTAAGGACGCTTAACTCTGGAGACCGGTTTGTCTAGACAAGGCAGGGAAATTCTTCCAAAATATTCGAATTTCCCTGCTGCTTCCTGCCTTTCTGCCCTTCCTTATTTTCTGTTGCTTTGCAGTCTGAGGCATCGAGTACGTTTTTGGTAACCGGAGATGGCAGATACTGTGTTTGTTTTTAGCTCTGGGTATATCACGTGATTTGCATTAACGGGACCACGTGGCAAAAGTTTTCTGGGAATTCCTGGTGAGAGATCTGGTTTTGTCAAGTCCTGGAAACTAACTCCTGCCCCTGCACTGGGCCAGGAGCAGGGCTGCAGAGGACGACATCAATCTGTGTGAGCTCGTGGGAGGCCTCAGCTCAGAACTGCCTGGCTGTGGTTGGGCGTAACGAGTTTTCTCTCCCTTTAGTAAAGGCAGTTGTGGGTGGTATTGGTCAGTGTTGTGTGCAGTCTGGTAGCAGTCTTCCTTTTTTTTTTCTTTCTTTTCCCCAAATCCCAATTCCTTAGCTTGATGTGCTCACTTCAGTGTCTCGCTGTTCCCTAGTGCTGCACCGATACCGACACATCCTGGGATTGTGGCAGCCGGACATCGGGCCCTACGGGGGACTGCTGAACGTGGTGGTGAGTGAGTACCTCCTCCTGGGGGCTGTGGTGGCGAGGACCGAGAGTTCTTTCGTGTACCGCTTATCCAGACCTGGTGGCTATCTCCGTGCTGTTGAGGAGTCCGAACAGTCAACCCTCAAGCCAGCGATGGGGACCCAGAGGTTGCTTCTTGGCTCTTTTCATCATCACCACCTTGCTCCAGACAGTCCTTTCGTTTTTCGGCTACAGGAGCACACGGAAAACATGAGCAATGTTTCAGGGGAAGGCTTGGTTTAGAGTTTAAGGCTGATATTCCAGTGGCTGGCACAGGAGGGCACCGAGTACAGCAGAGGTTTTAGCACTGGCCCGTTGCTTGCTGCATGATCTTTGCCTGCAGCTCGACGTTTTGCGAAGGGGTTTGCACTTGTGTTCGTGCACCTCTGTTTCCTGCAGTTTGCCATCCTTTTCACCAGCTGGGCCTTGAGACTGATGCCTCAGACGTAGCGATACTGGTGCAAGACCTGTGGAGCCTGGCAGCTCTTGTGCTGCTGGGGAGAGCAGTTCATGAGCGACGCTTGACCCTGTGTTGGCGAGAGCTGGGCCAGAAGTTTGCCTGGAGCCTTGTTCTTTGCACCGGGGTTCGACAGCTGACGGGTTGATGTGTAAGAAATCACGAGGCCTTTGGGTTTTGCAAGATTCTGTTCCACCAGCTGGTACAAGAGTGCATCCAAGCGCACCGATGCTTACATGATATCGTGACCTTGTGGAGACGAGCGTGCCTTCGTGGCGCTGCTCTGCTTTTGTCTCGGGCGTCTCTAGAAAATATGCTTTCTCTGGGATTGCAGGGCTTGAGGGGAAGGGTTCTGTTAGGCGTGCGGGAAGAGGGCTGGCACTTGTACCTCTCAGAGGAGATGGTTGCTTCCTGTGCTGTCTGTGAGTAATAGAGCCAAATAATTCCTTGTCCAAAAGGCGTGGATAATCACGAGAAGCAGAATTCGTCTGTTCAAGCGTCTGCCAGCGTGAGCTCTCAAACCAATTAACAGTTTGACTAGCTGTGTGGTCTCTTCAGTGCAGTCTCTCCCTCCGGAGCCTGCGCACCAAGCATCCGTCACAAAGTCGTTTGCAGTAATAAAGGCCCGTTCGTTTTCTAGTGGTGCAGGAAGCCTTGTAGAGAAACCCTCTCCCTCTTCACCCAGGGTGTGCTGTGAGTGCAGATGGTTTAATTGCCGGAAAGCAGTTTGGAAACGCAGCAAGCTGTTCTACAGCTCCTGCTCTGCTGCAGAATAGGCCCCAAACTGCTGCAAACTCAACGGGAAGCGCGCGAGGCTGATCCCCCTACGCTTTGCCTCCCGCCTCTCTGCAGGTCGACGGTTTGTTCATCATCGGGTGGATGTACCTGCCACCTCACGACCCTCACGTTGATGATCCGATGAGATTCAAACCTCTCTTCAGGATTCATCTCATGGAGAGGAGGTGTGCAACGGTTGAGTGTATGTATGGTCATAAAGGACCCCATAATGGCCACATCCAGGTGAGCTCCTCCAGCGCTTTCAGCATCGTCTGCCCTAGGGGCTGCGTGTGCGCGCGTGCGTGCCCATCAGCTCTGGAAATGGGCTCACCAAAAACCTGTATGAGGATTTTATTTAAGGGATGTGGCTTTCACCACCTCATTGTGTGCGTGGATGCCAGCTTTACAATCGTTACGTGCCTGACAAGTCGTGTGGGCTGTTCCCCGCTCTGGATTTGTTCACTGGCAGTAGTACAGCAAGGCTGTTACGCTGTCTTCTGTTGGGTTGGAGCACAGTGGGGAGGGTTGGGAGCACCAGTATGTGTCCAGGCTGGGGGAAAGGATATGTAAAATGGCCTTGTGCAGCTGGTGAACGTGTCCAAGCAGACACACGGACCTGTTCTGTTCTACGGCGCTCTGAGACCTTGAGAAGGTGACGTAGCATCCATTCAGTACGTTCGATGCTTTGAAAAGCTTTCTGAGAGGTCATTTCCTTTTCTTTGAAGAAGGAAGCTCGAATAGAGAAGCAACTTAAAACTAGCATCTTTCATTAGAATGCTAAGGGGGTTTTACTGCTTTTGTTTCCCTATTCTGTAGCTGATGCGCTCTGTATCGCTTGGTGATTTCTCTGTTGTAGCAAGTTCGGTACTGGTTGTGGTGTGAAGCGTTTACTCTAAGCAGTCTTAGTTGCATCGCCCTAGGCATCTCTAAACAGGTCTGTAACCTGTCAAATTCTCCTCCACGGTACCTACAGATTGTAAAGAAGGATGAGTTCTCCACGAAGTGCAACCAGACGGATCACCATCGGATGTCAGGGGGAAGGCAGGAGGTAAGAGTGCTTTGCCAAGAGTCTGCGTTGAGGCTCTTTGTCCGTCCCCTTTCTGAAGATGAAGCGTTGCTGTCTTACCTAAGCTCTTAGCTAATGTTGGGGTCTGGGAGGTGGTCTTCTGCCTCTTGATTTCTGTGTATCCGAACGTAACGTGAAAACCCAGGCTGGCAGCTTCTGCCTGCTTGACGACAATCCTTTTTGAGTAGAATTGAGCTGTGACTTAAATCAAAACTGTGGCCACGTTTGAATAACCGCAGGATCTTGGGCAGCCTCTTCTGTACTTGCCAAGGTGCGATTTAAGGATCCAGTAGGCTGGATCAATTCAGTGCAATCCCTGCAGAATGGGGGTGGAGACTCCATGCCTTCCCTCAGTACGTAGCAGAGTGTTGGAGCAAGCTGTTAGCATCCATGGTGTTGAGCAAATGGCTGGTTTCGGCAGTTCTCTGGGGCAAGGTGCTCTTTGAGCCCCAGCACCCTTTTTCTTCCCGTGCTGGGACACCATTCCTGTTTGATAGCAGGCCTGTCCAGAGCAAGCCAGCAGCACGCCTTGTATGCCATGCAGCCCTCTCCAGACGCTGATCTCTGAGCTGCTGCCGTCTGTATAATTAAGACCTTTCAGACACAGGCCTAATGTGGAGTACCAGCTGCATTCGAGTACCTGCTTGGCAGTGGGGCGTCTTTCTACTGCTTGTCGTCTTGGTCGAGGGATTAAAAGCTTCATGTGGTTGTTTATCCTCTGTGTGTGTGTGTCAGCTACACCCAGCAAGACAGATTCCTGACTCAAACTACATGTTTTAAGGTGCAGGTATAAATGACAGGATGAAAACCCTCCAGCTAATACCTGTTCCAGGTAGTGATGTTTGCTGCCAGCTAGTTAAACGTGACAGATCTGATACTTCAGTTGCTTCTAACAAATGCTTTAAAATGCCTGTCTACTAATGGGAGACAGCTGGGTGAAAGGTTTAGTTAAGTGGTTTCTGGTTCTGGAGCAGATGAGAAATGCTTTAATACTTTCAAAGCACTGCGTTAAGTGCGTGTGGCATTATGGTAATTGGGGGATCTGGCTTTAGAAGATAAAGCAAGCAGGTTCGGAACATCACTTGGTAGGCTGCTATCTTAGTGTAAGCTATTATCACACTAACTCATGGTGCAGGGTATTAACTTGTCAGCGCTGGTGTAGAGGTACTTCAGGAGATGTTTTCGAAGCACCCTTTGGATTTAGATGCATCAGTGTTAAATCAGCAGGATTTAACCTCCTAAATCTTCGGCGCCTTTCAAAAGCTTCCCCTTTTGCGTTTAGCGTGCCAGGGTAGGGCACAGGAGTCGGCTTATGGGCACACAAACGAGGTGCTGCGAGGTAAGTCAGGACGTAAAGACGTAGCAGGTCAGCTGCTTTGCAGTAACAAGTGATTCTTGTGCTTTTATTCTGTTGGATCTACTTGTAATTTGTTTGAAGAGGAGCATGTTTGTCGTGTGGCATCTGGCAGGTATAGGGCAGTTACCATTGACACTACTTGTCAAGCATATTTCCAAGCCAGCTCTGTAGCAACACATGCTTGTTCCCAAATCCAGCCAGGATCCTGTCTTTGGCAGAGCACGTGCCCTCTCTGCGTCTCCACCAGGGAGTCGTGCTGGCGAGGCAGAGCCGCGTTGGGGTACGTCGCTGTCGCCAATGAAATGCCTTTCTCTCCCCCCCGCCCCCCCTTTTCTTGTACTGCAGGAATTCCGGACGTGGCTGAGGGAAGAGTGGGGTCGGACTCTGGAAGACATCTTCCACGAGCACATGCAAGAGCTCATCTTGATGAAGTTCATCTACACCAGCCAATACGAGTAAGGGCCCCAGCTCGCTCCGGGCGTCGAGGCTGCTGCAACTTCACGAGCGCGTTGGATCGTTTGGCCCCAAGATGGGGGGCTCGCAGGGGGCTTTAACAGCCAGGGGAATGTTCTGTCTCTGCAAGATAGGGTGAAGCACGGTGTTTTCCATTTGCACAAGGAAATGAGATGTGATGATAGCAGTCCTAATAAGGTTCCAAGGGTTTTTTTGAGAGTGGCTATGTACTGTAAGGTGAATTTGAGTAGTTTATCTGTGTTTAATTTGAAAACGGGGCAAATACCCCTGATCCCAAGGAACTATCTACTTATTATCCGTCTTAGTGAGCAATATGTGTTGTAGTATGTGAGGCAGAAATCAGACAGTCCCTGAGAACTTGAGTTTTTCTTAGCTGTCGCTCCAAATTTCTAATAGCAGCCACCTCGCTGTAGCAGGTGTTTAAACTTGCTTCACTCTTGGGTTCTGTGGAAATCCCAAGGAGCGAGGAGGTTTGCTGTGACCTCGCTGCAGGAGCCTTCTGGCGTGCTAAGGGGGACTGGTAGAGAGAAGCGAAGGGAGGGAGTGCTTGCATAGGTCTGAAGGGAAATCTGTTAAGCTTGGTATTGCTGAAAATCCCACCCCTCTCTCGACAATATCCCAGAGCTGTCTGGAGGAGCAGCCTGCGAACCCATTCTTCGTGGTGGAGGACTCTCTCATAACCTCTCTAACCTTTTGGTTTTTGCACAGCAACTGCTTGACATACCGACGCATCTACCTCCCTCCTAGCGGCCCTGACGACCTTATAAAGCCAGGTCTCTTCAAAGGAACGTATGGGAGCCATGGGCTGGAGATTGTCATGTTGAGCTTTCATGGAAAGAAAGCGAAGGGGACTAAAATCACCGTGAGTGCGTTTTCCTTTCTCTCAGATGCTTGTGGAAGTATTCTGGATGCCGTGGATCCGTAGGCGAGATCTCTCTCTGGGAGGTAGTCAGTGGCTGCCACCTCAAACCCTGTTCCTGGTGAGGGTTGGTGGCATCAGGTGAATCTTAACGCCTGCAGAGTAGCTAGAACCTGCTCTGCAAAGCTTCTCGTGATGCCACCTGGATGCCCCTTCCTTTTCTCTCCCCTCCAGGCTGAAATGTTCTTAAATGTTGGCAGCTCGTCACTGAAGCCAGCCTAGCCAGCTCCTTCCTCTCGGCAGGAAGGGATTTTCACAAAATGCAGTTGCAGCTTTGACTTTCTTTTGCCCTTGCGAGTACAGCCCGGCTCGTAGCTTTTGATTTAAAATTCTCTTTCTGGGAGAGGGAAAGCAGAGGTGGCCCAGACAGCTCAGGGAACAATGAACGAGATCTGAACGTGGCTTTTTTTTTGGTCGCCAACGTGGTGACTGTAGAAGAGGGTGAACTCTGTGGAAGTCAGATGATGGACGTGGGGAGGATACAGGTCTGAACTCTGTAGCACCCTGCAGCCATGCTGTTGCTTCCCGTCTCTAGGGAGATCCCAACATCCCAGCCGGGCAGCAGACTGTGGAGATCGACCTGGCGCATCCCCTGCAGCTACCCGACGTCGAGAACCTTCGTGATTTCAGCGAGCTCTCTCGCATCGTCCTGGAGGTCCAGGAGCAGGTGCGTCGGGAGGAGCAGGAGCAGGAGCACCGGCAGGAGGAAGAGGAGCGCTCCCAGCCTGCTGCCTCCCAGCCTGCTGCCAAGCCCCTGGGAGGAGAAGGTGCCGAGGGGGAAGAGACTGCGGCTGGGGCGGAGGGGACGGCCCAGGACAAGGCACCAGCTTCCCAGCCCTTCGTGCTGCCCATGGGGGTCATATCGAGGAACGAAGACTATCCCCGGACCTGCCGAATTTGGTAACGGGGGCTCGTGGGTTTATAGCCTGGTCGTGCCCGTCGCTTTTTGAAACAGAAGAGGGGGGAGTCTTTGAGGCCCCGTCGGTACTTGCCTGCCCTTTACCTGCAGGCTGATCTCCCAGCCCCTCCTGCTCGGATTTTCTGCCGCTGCTGCCTTCTCTCCCACGCTCTTCTTCGCTCCCTCTCGTGTCTCACCACGCTGTCATCTGCCATCCTGCTTCCTTGCTAGATTTTAT